TTTAGTATCTTGAATTCTTCCTTGTGCTTTGGCTTCTCTGCGCTCCAGTGCAATTTTCAGAGTCTCTTTTGACATCCATTTTGGTCTTCTCTTCCTCTTCTGTCTTTGCAATGACCTTTGCACTCTTCCTGGATGATACCATTGATATCCTCCCACAACTCCTCTGGTCTTCGCTCATTAGTGTTCAAGGCCTCAAACCTGTTCCTGAGATGGTTCTGAAATTCAGGTGGGATAGACTCAAAGTCGTATTTTGCTTGCTGTGGATTTGGTTTAATTTTCCTCAACTTCAGCTTGAACTTGCATATGAGTAGTTGGTGGTCTGTTCCACAGTCAGCTCCTGGCCTAGTTTTCACAGCTGATATTGAGCTTCTCAAGCAGTTCTTTCCGCAGATGTAATCAATCTGATTCCTATGCATAAAATCTGGTGAAATCCATGTATATAACCTGCATTTATGTCTCTCATATCTTTTTCTATAAAATGCTGGTCTGTCTGATACTTCTCTAAATTTAAACATTCAGATTAAGACAGACTAGGAAGAAGGATTGGCTATCCACTTCTGAAATAGCAGGCCTCTGAAAACCCTATGTACAACAGAGCACATGTAGATAACAGAAAGGGCAACTGATGTTGAGCTTGAGCTTTCATGTATGGAAATACAAAGGAAGAGGAACAGTTGTAAGCAGACACTAGTGATTGGGACATGGAATGTGAGAACCATGAATGTAGGAAAATTAGGTATTGTTAAGGAAGAAATGGAACACATAAATTTTGACATTCTAGGCATTGGCGAGATGAGATGGACTGGCATGGGGCATTTTGAGTCGGGTGATCATATGATATATTACTCTGGAGATGAAAAGTTGAGAAAAAAATGGGAGTTGCTTTCATAGTTGAAGAAGTCATTGCTAGATCCATCTTGAAGTACAATATTGTGACAGGATAATATCCATACGCATACGAGGAATTCCAGTGAATACCACTATCATTCAGATATATGCACCAACAACCAGAGCCAAGGAAGAGGATGTAGAAAATTTTTATCAACTTTTACAATCGGAGACCAATTGAACATGCATTCAAGATGTGATAATAATTGGTGACTGGAATGCAAAAGTTGGGAACAGAGAAGAAGATTCAGTAGTTGGAAAACATGGACTCGGTGACAGAAATGGAACTGGAGAGAGAATGATTGAATTTTGCACAATCAATGACTTATTCATAGCAAATACGTTTTTTTAAGAGACATAAACGCAGGTTATATACATGGATTTCACCTGATTGTATGCATAGGAATCAGATTGATTACATCTGTTATTTAGTTAGAATAAGCAAATTGCTGTCAAGTTTGCTGTAACTCATGGCAGCCTTCACCAAAACCAGTTGTGCCTTACTGCCAATTCCAATTCATAGCATCCCTCCAGGACTGAGTAGAACTGTCTCACAGGATTTGCAAAGCTGTAATCTTTTCAAGAGTAGCTTGCCACGTCTTTCTCCTGTGGAGGAGCTGGTGAGTTCAAACAAGACATTTTGGTTGGCAGCTTAACAGTTTAACTGCCACCAAACATTTTTATGTAAAGTAATATAGAAGATCTGGAATTATCTTTGCTTCTTACAGACTTTGAGCCGCCCTCTTGATTTCACATCTACAAATCTCTGCCCTCTTGATTTAGACTCCTGGCCACCTTCATATTTCTGAGGCTATAAATCTTCACAGGAAGTGACTTCTTGATCTTCCTGAGGAGCATGGTCCTCAGAGAGGGACATCATGCTTGGGAGGGTGGAGGGTCCGCGCAGGAGGGGAAGACCCTGTTTGAGATGGATTGATTCTATGATTGGGGTAATCGGGATGGGTGTGTCAGAGACAGTGTGATTGGCACACCATAGAGCAGGGTTTAGGGCTGTTGTACATAGGGTCGCTTTGAGTCGTAAGCTACTCTACGGCACGTAACAACAACAACCACAACCACAAGGTGGATGGTTTGATTCAACCACCTGCTCCAAGGAAGAAAGGAATAAAAGAAAGTTTTCTGTAAAGATTTACAGTTAGAAATCGGTGGTGGGTCTCCATGAATCTGAATCAATTTAGCAGCAGTGTTTTTGGGTTTGCTTTTATTTACAATTTATTTTGACTTGGCTCAAATTACAGCTGCACTTGAATATTTTTAAAGTTGGATTTCTTTGTTCTTTTTTAATTGAGTTAAAATAGTAATTCACTGATTTGTAGACGTAAACAACAGATTACCTAGCCTCTAACCCTGTTTTGTTCTGTTTGTTTGTTTTTAGCTTTCCAGGGTATTAGATCTTCCACCAGAAAACTTGATAAAGTCAATATCTGCAATTCCAGTTTCCAGGAAAGAGTTAAGTATTTGTAACAATCTAAACTGCTTTTGATAGGCAATACAAACTGAAACCTTGCTGTTCTTTTATTATATAATCATTGTTATGTTATCTTGAGTTGAAACTGACCCATAATTGACTCTCTACTGGGTTTTCAGAGTCAGTTAATCGAACAGTAGGAGATTGCCAGCCCACCTCCTGAATAACAGCTGGTGGATCTGAACCCTGTGCTTTCGGGATTTCGGGATTGTGCTTTTTACCATTAGGCCACCAGAGCTCCCTGTGTGAAGAACTGTTTATAGACTATAATCATATAAACTCTATAGTTAAAACTATTTATAGACTAGTTCTTGAAATTAATCATAGTCATTGCCGTTGAGTCCGAACCAACTTACAGCTAACTGTCCAGTAGTTTTTCAGAGGCTGTAAGTCAGGAGGACATTGCCTATCTTTCTGCCATGGAGCAGCTGATGAATTCAAACTGCCAGAGGAGTTTGGCCTCTGGATTAGCAGTACAACTCTTACAGCCTAGGCCACCAGAACTCCTGTAAAATTAGGATGTGACTCATTGTTTCAATTTTTTACTCCCAATGAATGAAATAATAAAATTTTTAAAATACGTATTTTAGGTACTCTGATAATGACATTTTACATTATTACTATTACTCTTATTATATTCAGTTTTTCAATGCTTCTTTATGATTATCTGTAATTATTATAATTTAAGAGAAATTAAGGTGAAGATTGGCATTTAACAACAAATAAATGACCTGGAAATTTTTTCTGAATTAAGATTACTGTTAAGATCTTAGATTGTTTAAACAGATCTTTCCAATTCTTTGATACTAATAAGCCTTTTTTTTTTTTTTAGGCTTTAGTTTTTTTCTTTTTTCAATTTCTGCTAGAGGACTCTCAATGATAGAGAGTCTATAGCTCAGGGTTACCTATGACCTCTGGTTGCTTCCTTGGATGCAGAGAAGTAGCTGTGTCTTTATGAGTTTAGTCATCTGAATTCATGTTTGCCATTTGAATTCATAACTTGAATATGTGGATAAAATAGCCTTATAGTTAATTTAGAGGACCTTTACACTTTAAGCTTAAAAATGATGTAATTTATAAATGTCATCACTACCACTTCATATACTTTATTGTACCCTTAATTTTGTCAGGGCATAAAGTATAGCACAAATAAAGTGAATAGAGAAGAGAAAGGCTAGATTTGATAGGGTGTGCCTGGCCTAGTAAAAATGGAACTTATAAAATCACTTGCTGGTACTTCTATATTAATTCCAGGAACAAAAGCAACCACTGACCTGGGAGGGACTCATAATTATAAGGTAACAGTCCAAACCAGTTGCCTTTTTTATAAGATCTTCAGAAGTCATTCTATATACTATATAAAGGAGAGTGTCTCAATTTTCATTTATTTTGTGTTTTAAAGGCTTTTAATTAGCTGAACTGCTTTCACCCATCTTTTCAATGAAATATTTTTTCCTTCCTGAACTTCTTTAGGATCTCTACCATAACAATCTAAAGTATGACACTTTGTCATGTAGAAAATTTTACAAGGGGATTACAAACTTTTCTGGGATAGATTCTAAAATTTCGATTATTCAGTTTTCTTAAAACAAAAAAATTTTCTGTTCTTTTACAGTGATAAACCCTAGTACTCATTGCGATACTGAAATCAAAGCTAACTATTCTGCATTTCCAATTTCCTTCTGAAATATTACATTGTAGGAGAATTATGAAATACTGTATTTGTTAATATGGGTTAATATATAAGTTAATTTGTTCAGGACTCCTAATTCAGTTTCATATTTATCATAGTAGAGTTTTTATGTAGTACTAATTTAGTCAACAATATAAATAACTTTGTTGTAATCTCATAATGTGTAAGTCTTTACACTATCACCACCATAGCCAACTTCTCACAAGTAGCAGAGAAGTAGCTCTTGATTTTTATCTTTATATTTTAAAGTTACAAGCAATATGAAAGTTTAGAGAGTAGTATAATTAACCCTTAAGTAAGTACCCATCAGACTTGCTTTCATGGTTCAGTGGTTAAGCACTTGACTACTAATCAGAACTTTGGTGATTCAAACTCACCATTTCCTCCAAAGGAGAAACATATGCCAGTGTGTTTCCATAAATATTTATAGCTTTGGAAACCCTCTGAGTCCCTTTTACTCTCTCCTGTAAGATCACTATGAGCCAGAATTAATCACCCACTTTTTGGAATTTAGAGATATATATTTGTTCCTATTCCCAAGAAGGGTGATCCAACTGTGGAAATTATCAAACAATATCATTGATCATCACATGCTAGCAAAATACTGCTGAAGATTATTAAAAAATGGCTGGAACAGTACATAGATAGGGAATTGCCAGAAGTTCAAACAGGATTTAGAAGAGGCCATGGGACCAGGGATATCATTGCTAATGTCAGATGGATCCTGGCTGAAAGTAAGGAACTCCAGAAGAATGTCTGTCTGTGCTTTATTGACTATGCAAAGACATTTGACTGTGTGGATCATGACAAGTTGTGACTGACATTGAGAAGAATGGGAATCCCAGAGCATTTGATTGTGAGCAAGAGGCTTTTGTGCGAATGGAGCAGGGGAGCACTGCATGGTTTGGAATTGGGAAGGGAGGTGCATCAGGGATGTATTTTGTCTCCATACCTGTTCAGTCTATATGCTGAGCAAATTATCCAAGAAGCTGGACTCTATGAAGAGGAGTCTGGCATCAGGATTGGAGGGAAGCTCATCAATAACCTGCGTTATACAGACGACACAACCTTGCTTGCTGAAAGTGAGGAGAATTTGAAGCACTTGTTGCAGAAGATCAAGGAATGCAGCCTTCAGTATGGATTGTATCTCAATAACAAGAAAACAAAGATTCCACTGGACCAGTAGGTAGAGTCATGGTGGATGGAGAGGAGATTGAAACTATCAACAGCTTCATCTTGCTTGGATCCACGATTATGCCCTTGGTACAAGCAGTCTGGAGATAAGGAGACTCAATAGGAAAATCTACAGGAGGGACTTTTCCAAATTATTGAGGTGTTGTTAAGTTAGTTTGAGGACTAAGGTACGTCTGATTCAGGCTATAGTCTTTCCACATACAGCTACATATCTGAGACTTGGACAATGAATAAGGATGACAGAAAGAGAATTGATGCCTTTGTGCTATGGTGTTAGAGCACTGAACATTCCATGGATGGCCAAGAAAAGAAATAGATAAGTCTTTAAGAGGGTGCACCCAGAGTGCTCTTTGGAAGTAAGAATGATGAGGCATCACCTAACATACTTTGGACATATTGCTGGGAGGTGCTATTCCTCAGAGAGGAACATATGATGTTGAAAAGGGTGGAGGGTCTGCAAAGGAGAGAAAAACCCTCAACCAGGTGGATTGACTTGGTGACTACTGCAGTGGGCTCTTATTTATCAGGAGTGTGAAAATGGTGCGGGACAGGACTGGTTTCAGATTGTTTGTTCATAGGGTCACTATGAGTTGTACTCTACTTGATGGCACTTAACAGCAATCACCCACCACCATCAATCAGTAATGGCCAGTTTTGTTTGACCTATACACCCATCCCTTCTCCCCCTCACATTGGATTCTTTTTGTGTGTGTGTGTGGGGGGGGGGGGTTTAATCTATTTTATTGGAGTAAAAGTTTACAAATCATACTTCTTTTTTAACAGATATTCATAGGCCTTATTTATGGTTGATTGTTACAGGTAACTTTTTACAGCATGTAAGCAAACTCTTACTGTATATTGCTTTCCTCTCAACCATCTTCACTAGTTATTTCCCCCTCCTCTTTTTTTCTCCCCCTCCTCATTTAATCTGTAGTTTATACCCTGTTCCTGATTGTTGATTAGAGTACATATAATGCCTGATCATATGTTCATTTCAGATTGACCTTCCCCTTTCATCTATTCCAACATAGCAATTAGCTATCCAGAGTATAGGAAACCTTGTGGGACAGTTCTACACTGTCCTATAGAATAGCTATAATTTAGAATCAACTCAATGGCAATAGTTTAGGTTTTTAAATATATATAAAAGTGCAGTAAATTCTAATTAAGAGGATTGATTCAGCTTGATCTATGTATTACGTACAATGTTGTTGATGTTATGTGCTGTCAAGTCATCTGCAGCTCATAGTGACCCTATGTACAACAACCCTAAACCCTGCTCTCTCCTGTGCCAATGTCTCTGATACACCTACCCCCATTACCCCAGTCACTGAATCTGTCCATCTCATTGAAGGTCTTTTGATTGTCCCTCCACTCTACCAAGGATGATGTTCCTCTCCAAGGACTAATCCCACCTTGCAACATGTCCAAAGTATGTCAGACGAAGTTCAGAATACTTGCTTCCAAGGAGCAGCCTGGCTTCACTCTCTCTAGGACTAACTTGTTTGTTTTCCTAGCAGTCCACGGTATATTCAGTACTCTTCTCCAGCGCCACAACTCAAAGACATCAATTCTACTTCTGTCATCCCTAGTCATTGTCCAGCTTTCTGATTCATAGCAAGTCATTGCAAAGACCAAGGCCTGTATCAGGCCCACTTTAATCTCCAGACTGACATCGTTGCTCTTCAGTACTTTGGAGAGGTCTCTGACAGCAGACTTTCCCAATGCATTTATAATGTATTAATATGTTTCAAGGTTAATATATGTTATTAAATATATATTGAGGTATTTTAAGCACATGCATATAAATGTGCATTATCACTGTGATCAAAAACAATTTTAGAAAGGATTGAGAAGGAAAGAAATCTACCTCAAAAGCAAATTGTTCTTTATATTGATCTGGGGAACTAGGGGAAGGTAAAGAAAAATGTCTAAAGAAGCTACTTATATGATCCAGGGAATTAGGATGGACACATTCACAGGAGCCAGCTTACATAATCTAAGGAATAAAGATAGAGAAGAAAAAAAAAGAAACCATTAATAAAGGAACCTGCTTATATCGGTTCCCACATTCTAGCTTTAATGTCCCTGTTG